CCAAAATCGCAGAGGGCATGGGGGACAAAGGCTATACCAGGGAAACACAGCAGTGCCGCATGAAAATAAAGGGGCTCAGGCAAGTGTACCAGAAGACAAGGGAGGTGAACAGTCACTCTGGTTCTGAGCCACAGACATGCTGCTTCTATGAACGGCTGCATGCAATTCTAGGTGGGGACCCCACCAGAACCCCAACACTCTTTGTGGATACCTCCCAGGGGCCCCAGGCAGCCATGGGCAACAATGAGGAGGACATTGTTGAGGAGGAGGAGAATGCACAGCAGGCAAGGGAAGGATCCATTCTCCCCCCCAGCCAGGACCTTTTCCTAACTCTGGAGCCAATCCCCGCTCAGGGTCTATCGCTGTGGGACCATGACGGCGGGGAAGGCACCTCTGGTGAGTGCACCCTTATAATCACACTACAGGGGTTAAATGCAATTGTGTTTAATGCTTAATCTGAGGAAAACAATTGGGATACGGTGGCTACCAGTCCAGCTACGCAAAGGGTGCCCCACAGAAAAGCCTGTTTATGTGCCAAGAGTTTCCTCACCAAAATCTCTCCCTGGGTGTGGCCTGACACTACCTATCCTTTCTTGAGTGCTTACCATGCCTGCCTGCAAACCGAAATCTGCTGCCCAGTGCTCTGCCGTGCGTTGTACCTTACTGATAGGCCCTCCTTTTAAAAGACAAAATGTGGTCATGTACCTCAGGGAATGTATTTACTGTTGTAAAGTGTTTCGTTCATTGCAAGAATTAACCTGTTTTCAACCATGTATGTTCTGTAAGGCTACCCTGGTGGGGTTTTTTTCCTTGCAGCTGCAACCTTGTCCGCGGGTGCTCCCTCCACACCAGCACAAAGGCTGTCCCAGATTAGAAGGTGAAAAAAGGGGACAAGGGAAGACATGTTCTGCAATTTGATGCGTTCCTCCAAGACTGACAGGGCCCAGCTGAATGCATGGAGGCTTACACTTCTCAACTGTCAGAACAGGTCCCATTTTGGTATTTCGTCACTTCAGGACTGGGGAAAGCAATTTGCAAAGTTCTATGAAAGTGGTCTTACGCATTTGAAAGTTATGCAGCCCCTGCTCCTCATCCCATACCTACATCACGATGCGGTCCCACCTGTCTGTGCTTGTTTCCCGGGCCCAGAAGCGGCATTCCACCACGTCAACAAGCCCACCTGCCACCGCCTGCGTGTGCAAATTGCTCCATTCCATGGCTTCCTGCATGGCTATTTGCATGGCATCACATTGTTCCACGTGGCGGCTCCTGGCTAGGCTCTGCAAATACCACAGGCTGATGCGGGAAGTGCTTGCGATGCTCACAACAGTGTACAGCTGAGCGGGGTCCATGCTTGTAGTGGTATGGCATCTGCACAGGTAACCCAGGCTTAGGCATGAAAATGATTGTTTGCTGTTGCTTTTGGAGATGGAGGAAAGAGGCAAGTGCATCATGGGAGGGTGACATGGACCCAAAACCACTCACGGAAATGTTTTTGTCCCATCAGGCATTGGGGGCCTAACCCAGAATTCAAGTCGGCAGCAGGAACTGTGGGATAGCTGCCCACAGTGAATCGCTCCGTGAGGCCATGCTAGCCATAGTCCTGAGGATACACTCCGCCGGCGGAATGTGCAGAAGAGAAGAGGGAGGGGGGATTTGATAGCAGCCTTCAACTACCTGAAAGGGGGTTTCAAAGAGGACGGAGCTCGGCTGTTGTCAGTGGTAGCAGATGACAGAACAAGGAGCAATGGTCTCAACTTGCAGTGGGGGAGGTCTAGGTTGGATATTAGGAAACACTATTTCCTTAGGAGGGTGGTGAAGCACTGGAATGGGTTCTCTAGGGAAGTGGTGGAATCTCCATCCTTAGAGGGACTGAATGGCTAGGCAGCAGTTCTGCAGAGAAGGACCTAGGGGTGACAGTGGACGAGAAGCTGGATATGAGTCAACAGTGTACCCTTGTTGCCAAGAAGGCCAATGGCATTTTGGGGTGTATAAGTAGGGGCATTGCCAGCAGATCGAGGGACATGATCGTTCCCCTCTATTTGATATTGGTGAGGCCTCATCTGGAGTACTATGTCCAGTTTTGGGCCCCACACTACAAGAAGGATGTGGAGAAATTGGAGAGAGTCCAGCGCAGGGCAACAAAAATGATTAGGGGACTGGAACACGAGTTATGAGGAGAGGTTGAGGGAACTGGGATTGTTTAGTCTACGGAAGAGAAAGCCAAGAAGAAAGCCAAGGAATGTGTGGGCCCCTTACTGAATGAGGGAGGCAAACTAGTGACAGAGGATGTGGAAAAAGCTAATATACTCAATGCTTTTTTTGCCTCTGTTTTCACTAACAAGGTCAGCTCCCAGACTGCTACGCTGGGCATCACAAAATGGGGAAGAGATGGCCAGCCCTCTGTGGAGATAGAGGTGGTTAGGGACTATTTAGAAAAGCTGGACGTGCACAAGTCCATGGGGCCGGACAAGTTGCATCCGAGAGTGCTGAAGGAATTGGCGGCTGTGATTGCAGAGCCATTGGCCATTATCTTTGAAAACTCGTGGCAAACCGGGGAACTCCCGGATGACTGGAAAAAGGCTAATGTAGTGCCAATCTTTAAAAAAGGGAAGAAGGAGGATCCTGGGAACTACAGGCCAGTCAGCCTCACTTCAGTCCCTGGAAAAATCATGGAGCAGGTCCTCAAAGAATCAATCCTGAAGCACTTGCATGAGAGGAAAGTGATCAGGAACAGCCAGCATGGATTCACCAAGGGAAGGTCATGCCTGACTAATCTAATCGCCTTTTATGATGAGATTACTGGTTCTGTGGATGAAGGGAAAGCAGTGGATGTATTGTTTCTTGACTTTAGCAAAGCTTTTGACACGGTCTCCCACAGTATTCTTGTCAGCAAGTTAAGGAAGTATGGGCTGGATGAATGCACTACAAGGTGGGTAGAAAGCTGGCTAGATTGTCGGGCTCAACGGGTAGTGATCAATGGCTCCATATCTAGTTGGCAGCCGGTATCAAGTGGAGTACCCCAAGGGTCGGTCCTGGGGCCGGTTTTGTTCAATATCTTCATAAATGATCTGGACGATGGTGTGGATTGCACTCTCAGCAAATTTGCGGATGATACTAAACTGGGAGGAGTGGTAGATACGCTGGAGGGGAGGGATAGGATACAGAAAGACCTGGACAAATTGGAGGATTGGGCCAAAAGAAATCTGATGAGGTTCAATAAGGATAAGTGCAGGGTCCTGCACTTAGGACGGAAGAACCCAATGCACAGCTACAGACTAGGGACCGAATGACTAGGCAGCAGTTCTGCGGAAAAGGACCTAGGGGTGACAGTGGACGAGAAGCTGGATATGAGTCAGCAGTGTGCCCTTGTTGCCAAGAAGGCCAATGGCATTTTGGGATGTATAAGTAGGGGCATAGCGAGCAGATCGAGGGACATGATCGTTCCCCTCTATTCGACATTGGTGAGGCCTCATCTGGAGTACTGTGTCCAGTTTTGGGCCCCACACTTCAAGAAGGATGTGGATAAATTGGAGAGAGTCCAGCGAAGGGCAACAAAAATGATTAGGGGACTGGAACACATGAGTTATGAGGAGAGGCTGAGGGAGCTGGGATTGTTTAGCCTGCAGAAGAGAAGAATGAGGGGGGATTTGATAGCTGCTTTCAACTACCTGAAAGGGGGTTCCAAAGAGGATGGCTCTAGACTGTTCTCAGTGGTAGCAGATGACAGAACGAGGAGTAATGGTCTCAAGTTGCAGTGGGGGAGGTTTAGATTGGATATTAGGAAAAACTTTTTCACTAAGAGGGTGGTGAAACACTGGAATGCGTTACCTAGGGAGGTGGTAGAATCTCCTTCCTTAGAGGTTTTTAAGGTCAGGCTTGACAAAGCCCTGGCTGGGATGATTTAACTGGGAATTGGTCCTGCTTTGAGCAGGGGGTTGGACTAGATGACCTTCTGGGGTCCCTTCCAACCCTGATATTCTATGATTCTAGAAGAATGAGGGAGGATTGGATAGCTGCTTTTGACTACCTGAAAGGTGGATCCAAAGAGGATGGATCTAGACGATTCTCAGTGATAGCAGATGACAGGACAAGGAGTAATGGTCTCAAGTTGCAGTGGGGGAGGTTTAGGTTGGATATTAGGAAAAGCTTTTTCACTGCGAGGGTGGTGAAACACTTGAATGCGTTACCTAGGGAGGTGGTGGAATCCCCTTCCTTAGAAGTTTTTAAGGTCAGGCTTGACAAAGCCCTGGCTGGGATGATTTAGTTGGGGTTGGTCCTGCTTTGATCAGGGGGTTGGACTAGATGACCTCCTGAGGTCCCTTCCAACCCTGATATTCTATGATTCTATAGTGGGGACACGCAGCATCAACTTTGTGAAATGGGAGGTTAAGTGTCAACTTAAATAAATTCAACCTAATTTTGTAGTCTAGATATACCTTTAGACTGTCAGCTTTTTGGCTCAAGGGACATCTCTTTATTTTGGGTTTGTACAGGGCCTAGCACAATGGGGAGAGCTGGAAACAGGTTTCCCCTTTCATGAGATTTTCAAGAGTTCAAAAAAAATTTCCCCCATCCTGAATTGGGACAAAAAGTCAAAACCCTTGAAAATTTCAGATGACTGGATCATGAATAATGTTTAGTTCAGGTCAGCTGAAACATTTTGCTTTGATACTTTCCAAATGTTTTGATTGTGACCTTAAAAAAACTAAAACTAAACTAAACGACTAAAATTTCAAATGGGAAAACCATTTCAAACCCCGCAATCGAAAGGTTTTGACATTCTTAAACATTTTTCAAAACTTTTTCCCATTTGTTTCTTAAAAAAGAAAAAAGGGCCATATTGATGCATTCGCCTGGCAAGCTTCAGTTCTGTGCCTCCTTTGGTCTTCCCGCAGTCAGGCAAGAGGAAGACAAGGGCTGATTCCATATCACCAGGAGAACAGAACGCAGACATCTCTCAGCAAAAGTTAGCACGGGACACAAGACAGACACCGCCATTATCAATAACAGCTTTATTGAGAAAATGGAGATGGTACGGCCCTCCATGAGAAAGGACACAACACACAGCTTCAGTCTCTAGCATCTGAACATTGTACTGCAGAAGGAGGAAAGAGAGATAATGTTGCTTAATGTCAACACCCCCTCCCCCCCGCACACAAGGCAGTTGAGGGGGTGGAAGAGAAAGGAAGAATCACACATTTCACAGAGTTGGCCTCAGTGCTTTAGTTCCATCATCAGTTGTGCTGAGCAAGCATTGAACCGGGGATGCCCAAGCTGGAGAGGAGCCTTGATTGCTGACCCACTGGGAACAGAACTGGCAACTTCCCCCAACCATTGCCTCCCCCAGATAGCTGGGGGGGGAGGGGGGGAACCACCCTTTTCCTCCCTCCCAGCCACCCAGAGAGAAGGAGATCTCATGTTATGGCAATGAAGAGAGCCACAAAGCAGTGGACTGACTGTTAAGGTCCTGGCATCATGTGGCCGTGAGACGATGGTCCCCAAACTCGGACCCCACCTCCTTACTTGGTTCGCAGCCCCCCAGGAGCTGCATCCAGAAGTGAGCCTGCAGTCAGGGGCTGTGGCCAGGAGTGGGGCAACAGTTGGGGGCCGAGGCCAGAACTGCAGCTGGGGGCAGGGCTGGAATGGAGCTGGGGGCAGAACGGGGCTGGGGAGCACTCCCTCCCCACCCCTTCTGGGGGGGGGTACACCTCACAGTTTGGGGACCACTGCCATGAGATTGAGGCCTTTTGTAATAATCAAGAACCCATTTTCCAACAACCTCAGAGCCTGGGGATGCTGGGGCCCAGACCAATGAGTAAGGCTGGTATCATGCCGCAGGGACGTTATGATGCCACATTGTTGGCATTCTGGCCATAACCGCCGACTCTGTGGGTGCTCCAGGGCTGGAGCACCCAAGGGGAAAAATTAGTGGGTGCTGTGCACCCACTGGCAGCCAAGCTCCCCTCAACCCCCCGCCCCACCTCCTCCTCCCCCGAGTGCGCCACGTCCCCACTCCTCTGCCTACCTCTCAGCGTTTCCTGCCCGGCCGCCGCCAAACAACTGTTTGGCAGCATTAGCACGCTCCAGGAGGGGTGGGGAGGAGCAGGAACATGACGTACTCAGGGGAGGAGGCGGGGATTTGGGAAAGGAGTTGGAATATTGGCACGGTGGGGACGGAGCCTCATGGAAGGGGTGGAGTGGGGGGGGTCGCATACCCCCGGAAAAGAGAGGAAGTCTGTGCCCACACAGGGCTCGCACCACGGGGCGCATTTGTGACTCTCTGCATCTAACAGCTCTGGGAGACACCGATTAAAATGCTTGGTCCAGGCCTGAGCCAGTCTTCCAAGTGGAGACTGTGCTGGATGGAGCAGCAAGGGAAAGAGAAAGGAGCAAGGGATGGAAACCTGGCCATCTGGACTCTAATGGGTGGGTTCTCAGCTCCTCCTCCTCATGCGTGAAGGAGAGGGACAGGCAGGGGGAGCATCTGGGGCATCAGACGACTCATCGATTACCACAAGAGAATTTGCAAACGCTGCTGGGTTTGGGGGGGGGGGGGGAGATCCTGGGCTCCAGCCCTTGTCCCAGTCTCCCCCAGAGTCCGAGTGGCCCAGCTGATCAGGAAAGGCTCATCTCTTAAGGTACTTTTAAGCTGTGGAGGCTCATCTGGTGGCTGCTCAGTTGGACAGGACGTTGGAGGTCTCGGACACCAGTCTCCCGTCCTTGGTCTCAATTTTCTTGATCACGATGGCCTTTGACCTGGCAAGAGCCGAGCTCTCCAGTGTGGGTGAATTCAGGGAGTAGCCGCCGCTCGAGTATGAGCTGCTGTATCCTCCCCCGTAACCACCGTATGCGCTTCCAAGCCCACCTGGATGGGAGGAGAGAGACAGAGGACCAGTAAGACCACACAGGATGTGCTGGTGACTCCCCAGCCAACGGCAATGCTGACCGCATGGATGGCTCAACCCACATCCTGTGGGCCCGAGCACTACGGACCCTGGAAGGCTACAATGCTTGATCTCTGCTACAAAACCTGGCCCAGATCTCTCCTACAGTTGAGTCAGCTGTGCAGCTCTGTACTTCAGAACCAAGCCGGGGAGGCGAAACGCTAGATCCTAGGCTAGGTGCTGCCAGGACGGAGTGAAGGCAACCTATGGTCCTGAATCGTTAACTGGATTCCCCCAGGGCAGAGAAAGCATGGGCAAGATGAGTCAGCCTCTCGCAAACACCCCGTTATAAAAGCAGAAAGGGATGTCATTACAGCGCATCTAACCCTGCAATGATTCCTTCCCTCATCTTTAGATCAGGAGCTCAGCCTTCGAAAAAGAAGCCCCTGGCACTAGAAACCATCCCACTGCTAGGGCTTAGGCATGTTCTGTCTGCCTCTTCCCTTCCCCCGCCCCCACATATCCCCACTGCTGCAGAGCAAGAATCACCCCCCCAACGCATCTGGTTCGGTGCCGGTAAGACTGAGCGACCATGGGGAAGGTGGACCAGGCCCAGCTCTGCTAGGTGCAGAGTACCCTCAGCTCCCGCTGAAGTCAGTGAAAATTAGGACCCTCAGTGAGTTGCAAGGGGCCAGTTTCTCCTCCCCAAGCCCCGACCCTGGCTCTGTGGTTCTGCTCTCCCAACATGTGTCAAACTCCTGCCGAGTAGCAGAGTCCACCCTCACCATGGGTGGGTGGGGGGGGGGGGGCGGATTCTGCCCCAGCTCAGAGTGCTGCCCTGCTGCCCCACATTACCAACCCCCACCCCCAAAATGAAATGCATTTACCTGAATAGCCAGTCATCTTGGTCTGAATGCTCATGTTTTGCATCCCGGACTCCAGCCTGCCAAGCAGAAGAGAGGGACACGACTTATCAGTGCCCGGACGGTGTCGAATGGGGATGGGGCACAGAGAAGGACAAATGTAGGACGGCGTGGAATGGGTAAGCCGCTGCCAATGTGGCATCAGAACAGCTCATCTGTGCGTCATAGACCCAATACAGCTAAACAGCAGAGATTCTCCTTTAGCTCTATTGATAAGGCCCTGTTACTTTTGAAGCAGAAGGATCCAGGTTCTATCCTGGCTGCCCCTGGGAACGTTTGAGCATCTGCAGCCTGCCAGAAGTTTACAAGAGCGAAGCCCTAAGCAGAGGGTTTGTTACTAATATCATTACCCTTGCTTTGCAGATTATCCACTGACCCAGCTAAGGCCACCCAGTGAGTCAGCACAGGCAGGACTAAAACCCAGGCGTTCCTGGCTCCTGACCATCTAGACAAGGGGGTCTCGAGCAGGGGGCTGCGCTGCAAACAGATGTCAGGGGGTCGTGACCAGCCTGCTATTTCCGTATTGCGAAATGCGATGGGGGGAGGGGTATCCCGGTATGGGAAAATGGGTGAGTGCGTGGAAAGGGTTTGATCACTAGGCAACACTGCCCCCGCTGCATCTCAGAATTCACGGCCCTGGCTGCACTGTGCCGACTCGCTGCTGGGAGCAGAGTTACATCCCAGCCTCTCTGCCCTGAGCTCCCTCCCCCGGTCCTCACACAGCTGCCGACAGGGCCTTTGCCTGACACGCTGCAGCAGGGCTGACTCCGCATCCGTGTGCGGACACCATCATCGAGGAGGCACCAATGGATGCGCTAGACAGACGAACATGGGACTGCAGTAGCCCACTTAATGGGCCCGCCCCCCACATAACTAAGCTCCATCTGCCTGTGACTCAATTACTTGGATTATTCGCAGGAGTCACCCTGAAAAACTGAGGTCTGAAGGGAGGCTGTAGTGATGGTGGATGTACAAAGTAAGCCCCTTACAGGGCCAGCAACTGAGGGTGCTCTTTGGAAAGCGGGCACTAACAGGACATCCTGATTAGGGTGACCAGAGAGCAAGTGTGAAAAATTGGGACAGGAGGGGGGTAATAGGTGCCCATATAAGACAAAGCCCCGAATATCAGGACTGTCCCTGTAAAAATCACGACATCACCCGAATCCTGAAGCACTCAGAAGTCAGCAAGGCTCAGCGCACAAGGGGTTCATCTACAGACCTTGCTCCGAGACAGACGTGCACCACATTGGAGCCAAGTTCCAGCCCCCGGGGAGGGTCTATTGTCCTCAGTTCTCTCACTGGTCCTCCCTCCGGAGAGAGGGAGAAGCTGTCCAATCATGACACACGATGCCGGCCTCCCACACCCACCTGCTCTCCTCTCCTTCCAGCAACTTCCTGTAGGTGGCGATCTCGATATCCAGCGCCAGCTTGACGTTCATCAGCTCCTGGTACTCCCGCAGCTGGTGGGCCATGTCCTGCTTGGCTCTCTGCAGGGCAGCCTCCAGCTCAGCCAGCTTGGCGTTGGCATCTTTGATGGCCATCTCGCCACGCTCCTCGGCCTCAGTAATGGCTGCTTCCAAGCTGGCACGCTGGGGGGGGTAGGGGGGAGAAGAGGAGGAAAGATGGGGAGCATTAGATGGTTTCTCCCAGAACAGGGGCCTCTCCCAGTATCCTTATCAGAGGAGGAGGGTGAAGCTCCCAGGAGAAATCTGCTGGGGCATTATACATCCAACACACTAAGGGCTGGTCTAAATTTTTGCACCAATGCAAACTCCTAATGTAGATGCACTACACCCAGGCCAAGCAGGGGCTTGCAACTGGGCAGTTTACCCCCATTTCAAACCAGAGTAAGCTACGTGGGTCCATGCCCTGCTTTGCACCCATGGCAGATAGTCTGCACCACCGGATGGAAAATATAGACCAGCCCTGAGCTCTTGCATCCTATTCAGATTTTGCTTTCTCCCATCATACAGGCTTCTCCAAAGGAGACTGGGGAGCAGGGAAGTGAAAATCCCTCAGGAAGAAAGGGAAGCAGACTCCTGTCTACACCATGGCTGCAAGCATGTCACTGTCTCAACACATGCCCCCTAATCCTGTTTTTAAGCACTGCCCCATTCTGCAGTGCAGGGCGACCTGTGGGATTAGTGAGGTGCTCAGCTGCTAAAGTCCCAAGAGCTGCAAAAGAAACTAGGGGGAGAGAGAGAGAGAGATTGATTGATTGATTACAGCGACAAGAGTCAGTGAGATTAAAGAGAAAGAAAAGCCAGATCATCAGCTGAAGTAAATAGGCAGAGATAGGGTGACCAGATGTCCTGATTTTGGGCTCTTTCTAATATAGGCTCCTATGACCCCCCCCTCCCCCTGTTCCGATTTTTCACATTTGCTGTCTGGTCAAGACAGAGCTTGACTTCTGTGGTGCTGTATTGATTACACCAGCTGAAAAACTGGTCCAGAGAAACAGATATTAACTATGCCTTCAAACCACAGTTGTGCTGCCCACAGGTTGAGGGGCACATGGGAAATTCCCCACCTACACTAGAGAATGGGGCTGTGTTGCCCCATAGCTGCAGTTGTAAACCAAGATCTACGAGGTGGATTGAAAGGGATCTGTAGACTGGCAAGCTAAGAATCGTAAGAGGGAATCCTTTCCCCAGGTCTCCGGGGCAGGTCCCGTGCCCCCAAATAACTGCAAAAGGAGAAACCAAGGGTCTGGTGCAATTCTGGAGAAGTCAGCGGTTGTTTCTCTGACCTGGCCTTTTAGAGAATCAATCTCCGACTGTAGCCGTTGGATCATCCTGCTGAGCTCATTGATCTCGGTCTTGGTGGTACGGAGGTCATCCCCGTGCTTCCCCGCCACCGCCTGGATCTCCTCGTACTGTGTGAGAAGGAGAGAGACAAAGAATTCAAAACAGAGCGCACAGTGTCATCAGCTGTCCCCCTTCCGTGAGTGCAGGATCCAGGCCAGGATTTAGGGAGATCCTGTGTGGGGAGAGATGGCAGCCCAGGCTGGGAGCTAGAGAGACACCCAGGGTTAGTCTGTGTCCAGCAGTCTCAATAAAGGAATCCCCTTATCATTACAGCTGAATCCTGGCTCTTCACCACCAGGGAAACAGTATAAACCAGGGGTCCTGTCACAATTGTCCCAGCTCTGGAAGGCTCCATTTTTAACAGCTTTAATCAGCCTTGCAAATTTGCCCGGAAAATTCACCAGGCCTGGTTCAGAGATTGCAAATGAAGAGACTGGTGGCATTTCACTTCCCCTTCAGTCAAATCCTCCTCCCAGGAGGAAATGGGATTTTGCAAGGCTGGATTAAATTCCATGGGTCAGGAAGGGAAGCCAGAAGGAAATCAGAATGAAAACCACGTAATAGTGCTGCTTAGAAAGCCCTGTGTATATGGCTATGCAAATTGAAGTCAGCTCTGCAGCTAAGGGTGTCATCCCAGCTTCCAGGGGCGGAGGAACCAGTGTGGAATCTCTCTGTGCAAAGACTCAGAGAGTGCACATTGCAAAACCACCGCAGGATTAGAGACAGCTGCTCCGGGGTGGAACAGCACCGGTCCTGCAGGTAGGGCGGATTGGGAGGTGCGAGAGGCTGCTCGGGACAGAACTAACAATGGGGTGCTTCTGGTCTGGATTGGAATGATGCATGAGCTGCATGGGAGCCCAAGGCTGGACTGCCAGGGGAAGGTGGCAAGCACCGACGGCGCGTCAGAAGCACTTGCCATTCCTTGGAAGTGAGGCTTCCACCTGGGACAATCAAAGGGAAGGGAAGTCTGATCCAATGGGTGGGGCACTGACGAGAGACCTGGATCCAGTTCCTGGCTTGCCATTCAGCCCCTCTGTGCTTCAGTTTCCCATCTATGAAAGAGGGATGACAGCCCTGCCTTGCCTCCCAGAGATGTGGTGAGGATAAATGTATTGAAACTTTGGAGGATCTTAGATAGACAAGGAAATTCAGGCCTGGGCTTTCATGTCTATGTGGACTGCATTCTAGCAACTGTCTGTGTAAGTCCCATCTTCTTGCCAGGACAGGTTTGTTCCTTATGCTAGAATATGGCTTGTATCATCCAGTCTGGTTTCAAATGTTCCCAAGTTATGGAGCTTCCCCCAGGAGACGATTCTACAGCCTCAGATTTCAGCGTTAGGTTGTTTGTGCCCCATTTTAGAGAAGGTAGGTCTATGAAGCCAAGGCTGTAGCAGGCTTCCTGCGGGGAAGGGCTATGGCCTAGGGTATGCAGGAAGGACAGACAGTGGTTCCTTGCGGCCTGAGACTCTCAGAACGTGTGACCCAGCTGTGGCAGATACGGTAATCCCCGTAATAGCCTTGAAAAGCTTTATTCAGCTGAGCTTAAGTCTCTTTGGAGTCCATTGTATTAAGTGCAAAGCTGATGTATTATTGGGGGATTGGCTGTAACTTCTTCTGGGAGGAGACATGGGAAAGTGTTCTGAGGGTAGGCAGGGCCCTGGGCAGCCTTGGATAACCCCAGTTAGGAGGGAGAGAGACGGGGTTCTCCGCCCAAAAGAGGGGACGGCTGAGGATCCGGGAGTTTAAGAGCAGGTGTCCTTGCTGGACCACAGAAGGGGAACACAGGTGCAGTTGCCCTGAACTGTGACTCCAGCCACTAGAGGGGGTCAATGAGTCCCACTGCATTGGAGAGTTACGCATGCATCTGCAATGCCTGCTAAGGAAGGCTTCTCCTGCCTGTACTGCAGGGGATACTTCATGTGCTCAGCTCACCAGCTGGAGGGAAGGAATGGGACAGCTGCCACCTAGCAGACGTTCCCATGGGCAGTGCCTCACGCCCTAACCTGCCCGCGTCAGCTCAGAGACCAGGCTGGCTGCATCCCCAGCAGCTCTGTGGGACAGATGGGCAACTCACCTTGATCTTATACATGTTCTCAGCCTCCGCCCGGCTCCTGTTGGCCATCTCCTCGTACTGCGCTCTAACCTCCGCGATGATGCCGTCCAGGTCCAGCTTGCGGTTGTTGTCGATGGTCAGGACCACAGAGGTGTCAGAGACCTGGGACTGCAGCTCACGCAGCTCCTGGGTGTGGGTAAGCATAAGGATCATCTGTCAGCATGGAGAACTCGGTGCACTCGCCAGCATTCCCAATGCCTTGCAGTTGGCTCCTTTCCCAGACTAGGGTTACCATATTTCAAGTTCCCAAATAGAAGACATTGCTGAAGGGAGGGGAAACTGGAGGAGGAATGGGAGAGGGGGTACAGCAGCCGCCGCTGCTCTCCGGCTGCCCAGCTCTGAAGACAGCGCAGAACTAAGGGTGATCATACCAAATCACGGACATTCGTTCAGATTTCAAAAATCCGCCTGGATGGAGATTGGAGGACCAATGGTAACCCTAGCCCAGACTGACCCAGCCACTGAATCCACTGGGGCTGATGTTGCCAGCATCTGGCTGAGATCCCCCTCCTTCCACTCACCAACCTCAAAGGGCCAGAGGGCAGCAGCAGATGCCTTGATGGCTTGGCTATCCGGGGAGGGGAGAAGAGGGGTGTCACCATGCACCCTATGTGCAAGCAATCCCAGCCCTTTAAAAATCCCATGTCTCCTGCAAGAAGACACTTGTCTTTGCAGGAACTCAGTGTTATTCAATGGGATTCCCCCTGCAGGTCAGGAAGGAATTTATAAGGCCAGGGCTACAGCACTGAGCCAAAGGGAGACATCACAGACCTCGTCATACAGCTGCCTCAGGAAGTTGATCTCGTCAGTCAGGCTTTCCAGCCGGGACTCCAGCTCCACCTTATTCATGTAGGCCTCGTCCACATCCTGCAGGAACAGAGCACAGACCCCATTAGAGAGACCCCCAGCCCTCTTTGCCTGCAACGCACAGCCGAGCCCAGGAGCACTGTGGACTCACCTTCTTCAGCAGGACAAATTCGTTCTCCTTCTCAGTGCGGTGGTTGATTTCATCCTCGTACCTGAGGGAGGGGGAAACTGTCAGGTCTGCAGCAGGGCTGGGAAGTCATTCTCTGATGGATGCTACGAAGGCGTAGCTACCATCGTGGGGGCAGATAGACTCATCTAGGGGATGCCAGGAGGCAGGGAGACCCCTAGCCAGACACCCACCAATGACCTTCCAGACCTGGAAGGCGAAACAACAGGATGGGTTTGGGAAACGGTTGGGTGGGACAGGATTGTGCATTGGGGTTTATATGTGAAGTGAGGGATGAAAACCCCTAATGATGCCCATCCCACCCCCTCCCCACCAAGAGCAGCTGAGAACCATCCCCTCCCGGGAGAAGCTCTCTGTGCAGAGAAGCAAGGAGCACACAAGCCGGGCAGGTGTTGATAACCTGGCCAGATCCAGTGAATGCCCTGAAGGAAGCACCATGCTGATAATGAATGTAGCCTTGGAGAGCCTCCTTGTGTTAGAACATTGGGGTACAATCCAAGACCTCGGTGTGCCTGGGATTTCTACTTCCATTTGAAGGGAATGGGAAGGTGTGTGTCCCCTCCCACCCCTGCTTTGGCCCCAGTTGGACTCACTTATTCTTGAAGTCCTCCACCAGGCCCTGCATGTTACCCAGCTCAGCCTCCAGCTTGAGCTTCTCCTGGCCCAGGCCATCCAGCTGCCTGCGCAGGTTGTTGATGTAGGCCTCGAACATGCTGTTCATGTTGCTGCGGGTGGTCTTCTGGCCCTGCAGCAGGTTCCACTTGGTCTCCAGCATCTTGTTCTGCTGCTCCAGGAAGCGGACCTAGTGGGAGGTGAGGCAGAGAAGCAGAGCCTTGCTGATTACACCTGCAGAGCTCAGTGGCCATGGGAGGCAGGAATCTCCTGCTGGGAGAATTACAACCTGTTGGGCATGGATAGCTTCTTCCCACTCATGCTCCTGAAATCACCTACCATCCCTCCCACTAGATCCTGATCGTTCTCTCACCCGTGTGAATCAGGAGTATCTCCGTGGAAGTAAGTGGAGTTCCCCATGGAGTTCCCCGGTAGAATCAGGTGTAAGTGAGAAGACAACCAGACCTACAGAACTCACCAAGCCGGATTCTGCTCCCACCTCCACTCATAAATCCAAAGTAGCTTCACAGCAATTAGAGTTCCCCTTGTGTAAGTGACTCTGTGCCATAGAGACTTATTCTGCCTTTGGACGTGTGCACCGTTTAATTCAATGAGAGATGAGTCTAGGTATCGGAAGGAGTGGTTTTTCCTGTTGAGCCCAACTCTGCTCTCAAAGTAAATCCAGAGTCACTCCATTAGTTTCAGTGGAGTGACTCTGGATTTACACCAGTATAACAGAGAGCAGAATCTGGGCTGCAATAAAGTGCATCTGATTTATTTACACTAAGGCCCATTTTCCCCACTCTGGGGGTGTAAAGCAGCCTCAGTGTAAATGAGAAACAAGCCAGAGGAAGTAAGTGGAGTCATTGTGCGTTGACACTTATGTAACGGAGGGGAAGGATTTGGCCCTTGGTATTAATTTTCTTGAAAAGTGAAGGTAAACCAGTCTAAAAGGCTGGGACTTGTCTGCATCAAGACTGTTCCCTCAGTGCAAACCCCTAACGGAGACACATCATAGGGTTTACACCAATGCCACCTGATCTAGTCAGTTACCGGAGCCCACCCCACCTTGCTTTTATACAGGGCCCGAGGGTCACAACTCCTCCTACCATACGCCACAGCAGAGAAGTCACAATCCCTATGCTGGGGGTGTGAAGGAGCCTTAGTGTAGACAAGAAACAGGCCCAGTCAGAGTAAGTGGATTGACACTGATGTAACTGCCCTTCACCGCAAAGGGGGTTTCGCTTGAGCGGGTGTGACAGCTGCCATCTTAACAGACACATGAGGGATTGAACTGAGCTAAAAGGGCAAGCAGCCATGGCTTGAGCTAAATAGTCAAAGCTGCTTAAATGGGGCTGCCACAACACATACCCTCAGGGCACAGGCAGGGGGAGACCTGTAACATATGCCCCCCCACACACACACACACCCAGTGGGTTACACAGGTACTGCAGGATTTAGCCCACAGGCCTACAAATGCCTTTAGCATTTATTTGCAGACTTAGAGCTGCTGAAGTAAAGGTCTCTCGCTGGCAAAGCTCCCCATGATTTAGCACATGGGGTTAGACTTACCAAAGCATTCGGCCCCCACTAAGAACCATGGACGCTGCTGGACCATGTGCAAAAAGCTGTCCAGTTTAGCGTGTGGCTGGGCTAAGGGCATGATGCAGCCCTCTGGCCACACTGGTGGAAACCAGGAGTAATGCCACTGAAGCTGATGGCATAACAATGGTGTCGAATTAGTAAGAGGGAGAAGAATCGGGCGCAGTGGAGTTACTCTGGATTGCCACCAGCGTCAGATGACCAGGTGGTCCACTGTACAGAGGAAGGGATGCCACCTGGCCTGGATGATCTGGGCTAGGGGGTACAAGAGGATTTGTAACAGGCCTTGAGCCAAAGGAGGGGCCAGGACCCTTGGACTCCTGGAGGGCAGGGGCAGGGCGAGGCAGCTGTTCCTACCAATGGCCCAGCCTTAGATAACAAGAGATGTAAACACAGGCCTCTGCTAACCGGCAATAAAACCTGTTTGTTTCAATCCAAACCCGACACAGTTGCCCTAGATGGGTGTGGTGGGAGAGGCTTTCAGGTTAGATTGTTACATTGCCTTTAGTTAAGCATTTCCTCCAGCTGGCAGCCAGTGTGTGTTTTAAAAAAACCCACAAGCAAACAAGGACTCCGGTGGCACCTTAAAGGCTGACAGATTTATTTGGGCATAAGCTTTTGTGGGTAAAAAAACCCAGATGCCCAAATAAATCTGTTAGTCTTTAAAGTGCCACCGGACTCCTCGTTGTTTTTGTGGATAGAGACTGTCACGGCTACCCCTCCGATATTTAAAAAAAAAAAAAAAAAAAACACAGCTTTTTAAGCCCAACGCTGGAAAAGGGCAGAAAGAATCCAGCTGCCCTTTTGCCAGGGCACTAGCCTCTGAAGCAAAAGCCCAGGCGAGGGTGGAACAGGAACAGATGCAGGCTGCCCGTGGGGCAAGCAGGGGGGAAGGGAAGTCAACACCTGTCCCCTGCAAGTGGGGACCACTGTGCTGCAGGGCCTTGGAAATACTGAAGGAGAGAAAAAGCCTTGATGCAGCCCCTCTCGGCCTTACCGCATGCAGGGGTTACATCTTTTTCCAGGCTGGTATCACGGGCGCATGAGGATGGGAAAGAGCCACCGCGTTCCCTCTGGCTCATCCCAGCTCCACTAGCTCTGGAGTTTCCCCGGCTGTAGGTATGTTCGGCCCCAAGATTTTGGGTGGCTCCATTTTGGGGGCCTGATTTTCAGAGGTGCTGACCCCCCGCTGGTTTCAGCGGGAGCTGCCCGTGCCTGGCACCCTCTGAAAACCAGGCACCAAGTTGGGCACCTGGAATCAGCCCCCACTTTTAGCTCAGGAGCCCCATTTTGACCTCAGCCCCCAGCAGCCCCCATTGAGAGCAATGGAGAACCCCCCAGCCACGCCCTGTAGCAGGAGTGCTTTGCAAGGTGGCACATTTTCCTCCCCGCCATGTGCGGGCAACTTCCCCATTAGCTCTAAAGCTGCTCTCCGGTGCCTATGCTTTTGACAGCCGCTCAGGGGCTGTATTGGCAGGCGTCCCAATGGGGAACCTCTGGGCCTCCTCTCCATTCTGCTCCCCCACCTCCGGGCGAGGGGCTTTTTCAACCCACCAGGTAGTGCAGTGACCGGAAATCTTTGTAACTAAGACAAGCAGAGGAAATTTTTCTCCATGTTCTCATGCACCTGTAGGAGGAGCCTTTGGCTCAGGAGTGGCTCAGAGGGATCTGATCTGGCTACAGAGCTGTTCAGATTCCCCTCCGATTGCAGGGATATTGGCTGGCAGATCACTGCTCCCCTTATATGCTATGTGGCGGAGAGACGTTACCCCGAGATGTTTACTGCACACACCCCTGTACCCTACTCAAGTCACTGTGGGTGGCATGGGGCGTAACTGAGTCTGGAATCTGCTCTCTCCTTCCAGCCTACAGGTGTTACAGCAACAGGACAAGTCTGGTTGACTTCTGCCCATCCCCAAGGAACACACCCACTTCTCTCCCTGCCAACCCGGCTCTGCGGATGCCAGCTGCACCCGGACGGTGCCAGGACTCACCTTGTCAATGAAGGAGGCGAATTTGTCGTTGAGGGTCTTGATCTGCTCCTTCTCCTGCTTCCGCACGTGCTGGAGGGTGGGGTCGATCTCCAGGTTGAGGGGTGACAACAGGGTCTGATTGACGCTGACGGCGGCGAGGCCACCCCCGGCACCGAGTCCGTAGCCCACCGATGGTCCCCGCATGCTGCCTCCTCCATACCTGCTCCCACCATAGCTGGAGTAGGTCGAGCTTATCCTGGTGTTGCCCACGGGGCCAGCTGTGTAGGAACGGCTGCTGAAGGAGCGAGTGGGAACAGAGGTGGTGCTCCTGTAGGTATTTTTGGTTATTCTGACAGACATTTTGGAGAGGCTAGTGGAGGAAGACAGGAAACACTGGTTGAGCAAGCTCAGCAGCTGAAGGACAGGCTCTGGAGGCTGAGAGCTGAGTGGGGTGTGTGCAGACTTATATACCTCACCATCAGGGGGCGGGGAACCAATGTCTGGAGCACTGACTGGCTACAGGCCTCGGGAGGGGTGGGGCTACGACAGAGCCAGGCCAACACCTGCTCCCTCCACCCTGCCGCACCTAGTTAACTCTTTCAAAGCCAGAGAGGGGCAATCAAATGCACCGGCCCAGCTCCAAGAAGCATTGAGACCGGCCATTTGGAGAAGCACCTGGCAAAAATACCAGAGGGGGGCGGCAGCCTCATGAACTCACCCAGGATCCACCCAGAGAGAGCAAGAAATGCAACTATCAGGCCAGCTTCTGGTCTAAGTTATACTGGGGTGAACCCAGAGCTGGCACTAGGCATAAGCAGATTAAGCAATCGCTTAGCAGCTCCAAGAGGCCCCCTATTGGCTTTTTATTATGTGTTGGGGGGGCAAAAAAAACTATTATTTCTCAGGGCCTCCAATGGACCAGCACCACCACTGTGTGGCTTTGCTGGAGACATTCCGGGTTTGCACCACCAGAACCTTGCGCATCATTAGGGAAGCCACCAAAGATGCATGAGTTGAGGCTTGTTTTATCAGCGGGTGCCCAGAAAATAAAAGGAAAAGAAAAAAGCCGAGGAGAGATAGACAATAAGGTGTTTTGCAATGGCAGGTACCTGAGGTCCTAGGTCCTTTCTCACATGAGGTTCAGGGCTTCTGTGCAACAGGGAATTGATGCTACGCTGTCCTCACCACTATAACTTCACCAGCAAATGCAGTACCGGGAGCACTAGTGTAGACTATACGCTGTAGTGCGGATGCTGTTGGAAGCATCAGGTCACACAGACATGCTCTGAGGGGGTAAATGTCCCCCAGTGGTTGCAACAGTGGTGACCTGTCACAAGCGGCAAAAATATCCACGCATGGACACAGCATGCATAGCAGACAACACAGGATAGATGTGCACTTCCAGACTTGTGCAAGCTGGTATGCACGGCTGGCCTGGCAGAGGTGCTTTAGGCCAGCCTTGGGGGTTACTGGCAGATTTGCAGGGTTCTGGGCTGGACTAACACGGGGGCTGCAGGTCAGGACGAGAGCTGGTCGGGGGAAAGTTTTCATCAGAATTTATGAGATTTTTTTTTAAATTTCTCGTCGCAAATCCAGGAGAAAAAAAGTCAAAATACTGAGAATTTTTCATGAACCAAAAATCTGGAAAAAAATCATTGAGTTGGGTCAACTGAGCCTGTTCCAAATTCTCAAAGCTTTTCCATTCATCCAGACCACGTTTTTGGCTTGCAGACTTACTTGAGTTAGCTTACACTGCGAAACAACAAGTCATTCCAAATTGGAATTCTTGGTTTGGAAAATGCCAACCTTTGGTCTGACCCAGTATGGCCGTTCTTGTGTTCTTATTCTTCCCGGCCTTCCCCCACAACCCAGAGCCATTAGCCTGCATGGAGTGTAGCTTAGGATCAAAACTGGCCCATAGCACATGTTATGATCATTGGTCCGCCCACACACACACACACCACGCAGAACCTAGCAAGGGATTTTACTAAGCCTGGGGCAGGGCCTCTGCACCTGTGGCTCCCTGCTCGTTAACGGGGATGACTGCACCCAGCAGGTTGGAACATTCTTGGCAGCTGGTGAGCACCAGGATTAGAGCCTAGACAGTGGAAGGATAATGAGGCAGGCTCCTCAGGGCTGAACTTGTCCCTCATTAAAGGAAACGACTGCACCGGGGTAGGAGAGTGAGGGTGAGGCACCCTCAGGCAGGGCTTTTCCCCTTTCCTTTAAGTGGCAGCAATTGAGGCATCTGCTTTTGATGGTCTGCCAGGAAATGATCTTCTCACAAATTACACATGGAAAGTCAATCTGGAGAAAACAGCTGGATTCTACTGGAGAAGACTCATCTGTCTACCTATCCCCATACACATCCATCCATCCGTCCATCCTCAGCTACATCTATCCATCCCTCCCCATATACATCTATCTAATCCGTCTATCTACGTCCATGCACATCTGTCCATCCATCCACATCCATATCTATCTATCCATTCCCATACAGATCCATCTATGGATCCCCATACAAATCTAATCTAATCTATCTATCCATCCATCCCTGTACACATAGGCGCTGACCCCCTGGGTGCTCCGAGGCTGGAGCACCCACGTGGGGAAATTAGTGGGTGCTCTGCACCCACCGACAACCAAGCTCCTCTCCCCGCCTCCCGCCTCACCTCACCTCACCTCTGCCTTCTCCCCTGAGCGCGCCAGGTTCCCGCTCCTCTGCCTACCTCCCAGCACTTGCCGCCACAAAACAGCTGTTTTGCAGTATTACAAGCTCTGGGAGGGAGGTGGGGAGGAGCAGCATGCAACACACTCAGGGGAGGAGGTGAAGAAGAGGTGGGGCTGGGCCAGGATGGGGATTTGGGGAAAGAGTCAAATAGGGGCAGGGAAGGGTGGAGTCAGGGTGGGGCTGGGGGCAGAGGGGGGTTGAGCACCCACCGGCGCCAGCAGAAGTTGGCGCCTATGCCTGTACACATTTGCCAGAGGATGTTGTGAAGGCCAAGACTATAACAGGGTTCAAAAAAGAACCAGATAAATTCATAGAGGATAGGTCCATGAATGGCTTTTAACCAGGGTGGGCAGGGTGCAAAACAATGCTCTGAAGTTTCCCCAGCCACTGTTTGCCAGCAGCTGGGAATGGGTGACAGGGGATGGATCCCTGTTCTGTTCATTCCCTCTGGGGCACCTGGCATTGGCCCCTGTCAGAAGAGAGGATACTGGGCTAGATGGATCTTTGGTTTGACCCTGTATGGCCGTTCTTTTGTTCTTCCATCCTCAGATGCATCTATCCATCCATCCCCATATACATTTATCTGTGTACCCATCCATGCCTATCCAACCCCATATTCATCTATCTATCTTTGCCATGTAATAAAGGTCTCCGAAGGGAGATCTTTATGCCTCACACATTACAGGCTCAGTTCTCCCTCCCCTCCTCCCATGCCCCCCAAAGCCACTGCTACATACAAGCAAAAGACACTGAAGTTCTGTTAGAATGAGGTTGCCTGGCTTTTATCCTCAGCTGGCCCAGCATTACCGGGGACGTTTGCACCCCGAAAACAAACTTCAAGGGGCCCCCAAATTATTGTCAGAAAGCCCAAACTATGTACCACGTTATCAGATGTTAAACATGGAACAGCCACCGATTGGAGAATCTTCGTCTATTATATAAATGACAAATCACAGCAAAATAACGACCCAGTAGCCAAATGTTACTTTTTTAAACTCTGCAAATCCCAGATTTTCCAGGGGCCTAACAAGCACCTGGGTTCCTGGAAGATTGATTGTTTTTTAAATAGTGAGATCCAGGGGGCCCCAAAATTACCCATTGGTCCCCAATATACCCCCCAATAATGGGCCCCTAGAACCAAGTCCTGATCCCCAGTCGGGCATGTGGCCACTCCCTGCTTGGCTTTCAGCGCACACAGGGTTAGGGGGAGTCTGCTGTCATCGCTGGAGAAATCCTTGGCTACAAACTAAGGAAGAATCTACGGGTACTGTCATCAAAAGCTTGCGGCGCCATGTCTCAGAGCCCAGCTCAACTGACTCGGGGTTGCAGGGCTCAGGCTGCCCAGCGAAAAACCACAGCGTAGGCTGGGGCTGGAACCTGGGCTCTGAGACCCTCCCTCCTCGTGGGGTCTCAGATCCTGGGCTCCAGCCTGAGCCCGAACGGCTACCCTGCATATTTTAGCCCCACAGCCTGAGTCCCAGTCAGGTGAGTGGGCCAGCTGTGCTGCGAGTCTTTTACCGCAGTGTAGACACACCCTTTAAGGTCCAAGCCCTGTTTACACTCAGCATGCAAGGGAAGCCTGGCTCCCCAGCAATTGTGCCAGGCATTTCACAGCCATTGTTCAGCAGGGCGGTTGCCACACCCCAGGGCAAGGGGTTGAAATCATGGCTGCCTCCCACCTGTTGGCTGTTTAGAGCTGGCTGTTCATTCGCATGCGAGTCTCAGATCGGGGAGGAGGGTGTCTGTGGGCCTCTACTGATTAGTTTATCCAGGGTCTGCCTTGAACTGGGATTCTCCCTAGTAGCCTCAGTCTATGACAACATAACGCTAACACCATGGATCTGCACATCCATGTCTCCTCCAGCCCCAAAGCACCTCCCCTGCCCCTGAGCTTGAAACCGCAGGGCCGGAGGATAAAAACCAGAGACCTACATGGGCCTTGCTTGTATATTGCAGTGGATTTGGGCGGCCTGGGGGGCGGGGAGGGGACGGACCCTGTAGTAAGTGGGGGATAAAGACCTGTTTTAGGAGATTGTTATTGCAAGGCGGGGACGGATGAATGGACAGACAGCCTGATAATAGACAGACTGAGAACAACTGGGGTGGGGGTACAGAGTCGGCGTGGGGATTTTCCATTGTTCTCAATGGCAGCTGCTGGGTGCAGGGCACTTTGGAGCACCGGGCCCCTCATGCACAGCCATGTACAGGTCTATCCCTACAGAACCTGCTGTAGGCCACAGGGTAGGAAAGCAGCAGCAGGAGGAGGAGAGTTACACAGCGCTGAGGATTTGGGAAGGGAGAGGCTCCAAGCATTGAAGATCTATAGGAAAGAGATGCCTTTGCCAGTGGATGGGGGACCCCTCTGTCATGCACTGCGGCACCAGGGGCTGGGGGACCTCACTGTCATGAACTGCAGTGTCAATGGGGGACCCCTCTGTCATGCACTGCTGCGCCAGGGGACCCCTGTGTCATAGAATCATAGGACTGGAAGGGACCTTGAGAGGTAATCTAGTCCAGTCCCCTGCACTCATGCCCTGCAGCACCGGGGACTGGAAGACCCCTCTGTCATGCCCTGCAGCGCACGGACAATGGCTCTAAAGAATCCCAGACCCCTCCCTTGCTGAGAAAGCTCTGCAGCCCGAAACCACACACCCAGGCCCCCAGCCCAGGAAGAAGCCCTGCGGGCTTCCCTCCTCTCTC